TCTAATAATGTCATATTTTGGGTCCGAAACCAGGCCTGTGAATGCTTTGAACGATGTTTTGGGTCGTTGTCCTGCTGGAAATTCCAAACATTTCCATAGAACACGTGAGCAGATGGAAGTAAATGTCCCTCGAGAATATCTGTGTACCGCTCACTGTTCATATTCCCTTCAAATACACAGAGGGCCTTTGCCACTAACACAGATATGCCACCCCACACGTTAAATTTCGGACTGTACTTTGGGCGCTGATACAAAGGTTTTTCTGTTTGTTTGGTCAAGAATTTCAGTGTATTAGGAAACAGCCACACAGAACTTTCATCTGAGAAAATAACATTGTCCCAGTTAAAATTTCTATGCTGTAAGCACCAGTTCAACCTTCGCTCCTTTCGTTCACGTTTCATGATCGGTGATGGAATTCCTCGACTTTTCTGCCAACCCATTGCATGCAGCTCAGTTCTAATTGTCTCCTTACAGACAGCCAGTTCCCCTGTCAATCATATCCAGCCTTAGGTTTTCTAAACTCCCTCGTTTGTTTTTAGAAACAAGAATACCAAGCCGCCTCCTGTCACCGACAGTCAGTTTTCTGGGCCTACCTGTGCCTCCCTGGTGCTCAATGCCATATCCATTTGCAATATTTTTCAAAACACGATAAACAGTGTACAAAGGGATGCCTGTTCTACTTGAAATCACTTTAGCTGATCTGATACTCTAAAATCAACTTCCTCTTCTCTAAATCATCCATACTAAGGATCAGTGAAAATGTCGTCTGCTAGCAAGTAAACAAAGGGGGATAACTCTTCACAAACTAATGAAAAAGGATTAACGGAGTTGTCTCTCTTGAATGAAACCAAACACTTGATAGCTGGTCAAGGTTGTTTATACTAGAAATCCAATTAAACATATTCTTTAATAATTCTCAATAATTTCTGGTCATACTATGTAATTGCACTATTTATACAGTGTTTAATAGCTGATATTTGTCTCTGTTTCATTTCATTCTCCATCTTTCATTATTAAACCAACTAGTTGGTTGCAATAGATAGGTAAAACATATCAAGGTAGCCTTCAGAAAGAGGACTTATGAGACACGGTATAAACATACACTTGTGAATTAAGTTAGTATAAATGATATGTTTTACTTCATGATTATAATGGTTTTAATAGACTTATTAGTTACGTTCTACATCAAATGTTTACTGGACTAAACATTCTGTAAAATATACTTGTATATTAAGTTTTGGCTCTCATTACGATCAAAAGTAGGTACTATACTACTAAGTTCATCTAGTACGTCAGGATAACAGGATATGAAGTTATAATCTGCTTTCATCTTCGACAAAGCGGACATATGAACACTGAACCATATGGACATATTCTATCTTTGAAACTAAGAGGGGTCGATGGTCTTGTATATGGGGCGGTTTCTACTTCAATGGGCGTAAACATGATTAAACTGGCTCTTGTGTCTGAACTTAACATTTATAACATATAGGTTTACAAGAAATGGTGGCATAAAGTGCATATTGAGTGAGTGGAATTTCATGACCATCTCAGCAGGGGCGGACCATGGCTCTGGCTTACAGAAGCAAACGTTTCAACCACAAGCTAAGTTATTCCATGCAAAACCAGTGATCTACAACAGTAGCCTCGTACACTATCTGTTATAACGCTCCATCGTCACAATCACATATACAACGTAACGTTAAAAATACCTTTTATCATAACCAGTACAAGGAGAAAGTCGTTATATCATTCATCGGTTTCTAAGCGGTAAGATCAATGAAATAATAATAACCTAACGTCTTTGAGTGGCATTAGAAGTTGGTGTGATGAACGAAATGGAGATTTCTATGGATATACAACTTCTTTATTATTAATATGAGCGACGCTTCAGTGTAGCTTTTTGAGTACGGCGTGTTAGTAGCTACACCGAAACGACGCTCATAAAGAAGTTGTATATCTATAGAACTCTCCCTGTTGTTCATATAATAAGCTAGTTTCGGATACAGTGCCGATGTATTTGGGATATCAAAACCAAAACGAAACTGTAACAAATAAGCTTAGATATATCGGCTATAAACTCTTTTGTTCATACCTTCAAGAAGGGTGGTGGGCTACATATAACATTGGTAAATTCTTACAACGAAAGAGGCGTTGAGCCCTAAATTCGTTCACTCACTTTCACAATAAATGTTACATTTGGAGAGTTTATGACTGTGTTACACATTATATATTAACAAACATATTGTTTAAGTTTATATTGATGTACTTACCTTAGTTTGTTGTTTTCAAAGTTCCCTCCAAAACTAACAAAATTCGGCAGGACAGGAAGTCATGTTGAAATAAATTCCTTCGTGAACAATCTTCAGAATACACGTCATATTCCGAAATATTAAAAACGGTCACCGTAGCGCGTAAATAAGAGAGACGTGAAAATTGGGGTCCAAACCTATGTTATAATCTCGGTTTCAAAAGAATTCGAAACACCTTGTCGGATTTAAGATGACGCGCACCAGTGAATTTGATAAATAAAGTGACGTCTGCTTCCATCCCTTGAGTCTGAATAACGCGCAAGGAAAACTCGTGCAGCGGAAGTGCGTCCCGATTGGCCAAACTTTAGACATGACATCACGTGACAATTCTGGTGAACACCTGCGTGAAATAAACAACACTTCGAACTTGATTTGACATTTTGTTTACAAAAGTTATTTTAATCGACTAAGTCAATGACAGTCGTACAGCAAGATTAAAGGGGTGACTTCTCGGATTCAACACATGGAATCTATGTGTCACCATTATTTACGCCCGTCTACCTAACTTGTCTTGTTTTTTTTAATTGCATATTTTAAACAATGATTGGTTATTTTAGCAGTATTCATCCAGGAGCTGGGTATGATAATGGATGAATAACACAGTGGATACAGTCTGTAATGAGTTGCCAAGCGCCTTGTCATTACCATTGCAAATGCAGCAATAACAATACGATGATCATGAATAAGTAGAATGATGAGCAATATGAACAAAGGCGCTGGGCAGAGTTGCGTCCCTTGAGAAAGCCAGAAATATATAATCGTTAGTTTGAATCCCGGTTCGGCCCGATTAGGGTTTTGGCTTATCAGCATCAGATCTGTGCTTGTGGTTAATGTGTGGTCTTTCATCTCACTCAGGAAACAGCAAATTGTCGTCTGCTTGTTTCCCCTATATGCTGCTCATCATGTGGATACATATATTCTGTGAAAACTTTCATCAAAGTAATAATAAAAACTTGAGTGCATATTTATAATGCGCACATATCCACGCTGGTAAGCATACTCTTGGTGCTAACACATTATTACCTCGGATAACCCAAGCTGCCTAGTAGGCACTAGAAGGTTACAGTCACATGACTTATCCAAGAGGTACCCATTTTCTGCTGGGTGAACAGAGGCAATTTTGAACAGACTCACTTTCCTGAGATGAGAACATGTGTATCCCATGTGCTTCGTTATGGGGCAGGAATAAAGTCCTTGAAACTCTCTAAAGTGAACACGGTCACCCATCCAAGAACTCTCCGCGCCAAACTTCAACTGATTTGTGACTTGAGCTGTATGCACATGACCACACACCTCCTCAAGTGAATGACAAGTATAGATTGGTGGAGTTCAGCAACTGTTACCGCCTGATATTCTCATACATGTATACAAAAGATAAGTGAAAGCAAAGTAATGTATCTGAGTTGTTCAAGTTCAAATTGGTTGTCGTCAAGAAATATGACGGCCAAATGAAATGACTCATGCATTATATACAGTGAACTACTGTGAAAGAAAACGCAAGCACCGAAAAGTTAGGGAACTGGACAATCCATACCCACGGAGATCCGTATACAGACTTTTGTGGCGGACTCGTACCCAAATGTCGGATAATCCGTATCCATGCATACCTTATCAACTTGATAACTCGTACCCATATAACGGATAATCCGTATCCATGCATACCTTATCAACTTGATAACTCGTACCCATATGTCGGATAATCCGTATCCATGCATACCTTATCAACTGATAACTCGTACCCATATAACGGATAATCCGTATCCATGCATATCTTATCAACTTGATAACTCGTACCCATATGTCGGATAATCCGTATCCATGCATACCTTATCAACTTGATAACTCGTACCCATATGTCGGATAATCCGTATCCATGCATACCTTATCAATTTGATAACTCGTACCCAAATGTCGGATAATCCGTATCCATGCATACCTTATCAACTTCATAACTCGTACCCAAAACTGTGAGACGTACCAGTGAGATATATACTGATTCGAAACATTAACCGTTTGTAAGAATTTCCTGTCGACAGCAACGACCAATTAATATATATATATGATTTGATTTTATTTGTGTTTCATATAACACCATATGAGTAGTCCATTCACCGTCTGTGTAATAAGCTGTAAATATACAGTATGACTAATATTTAAAATACAAACTGATATTTATTTTTTTCAAAACAGTCGAGAGTTTCTACACATTTACACGTACGTATTATTTGAGTATGCAAGCGATATTCAATGTTGATTGGAAAAAGGAGAGCCTTTAACTAGTACTGATAAAATTGTGAGGATACATTAGAAAGAAATTACATCTGAAAGTGACATTTCCCTATATATTTCTCTCCTGTTCATAACGACTGTGTTTCACTTTCCTTTTCACATTGAGTTAAGATTGTTTCAGGACACTGTTTAAAGAATATTGTTAAACCCAGCACACTTTCAGAACAGCCAAGTATTAAAATCCTGTTGGAAACCTGCGTTACAGAATGCTAATGAAGGGAGGTAAATGCCGTGCAATGTTGAACGACAAAATAAAATATTGTTAATATAACTTTATAGCAACATAATAATTGCTTGTTGATTAGTTATTGCATATAATATGAATCCAAATCATTGCTAACAGTATATGTGGAAGATATATATGTTCCGTTTACTTTGACGACATGTCGTAAACCAGAACCGGATATAGTATCACTAGCAAGATGGCGGGAGAAAAGCGTGAATCAGGTCTAACAACATTGAATATTTTCATTATTTATATTTTACCAATTTCTTACTATGATTAAATTCTCGAGCATATGTTTCGTGTGCGCCCCAGACAGACAAACTAAATCAACCCTAGTTCAAATATCGGTGTCAGAATTTGCCTTCAGCAACCCATGCTTTTGGCGAGTAGAGAGGCAATAACGGGATCGGGTATCGAGGGTCGGTGCCTTGGCTGATGCATGTCATGGGTCATCGTATCTCTATGACGTGAATCAATACTCATGGCGTCAATCAGCGTATTATCTGGTCTAGACTAGATTATTTACAGACATCATATTGGTGTAATGTTACTGAGTGGCGCGTTGAACAGCAAACAAAACCCCCCAAAATGTTCAACTCACATGTATCGGAGCCCATGTTTCAAATATTCACGAGTCAGATATACATAAAAAAAGGTATAATAACAGTATAATTTTTAATTCAGTGTGTAAACGTTAGTGATAAAACGATTTGTTCAACATACGTACCAAGTGTTACTCCACAGACAACAGTTTATAATCATGATAATATTTGAAGCTGTTGAAAAACAACAATACTCAAACTCAAAACTCATTTGGAATATTTTTCCATTGCCTAGCAACAAGGATTGTCCCAGTCTCAGAACTTAAGGGGAAACAAAACTCATAACAATTCTGTCACAGTTCAAACTGTGCTGCAAAAATGATATTCTGGAAATCCTATGTTCCCAAACCATTCATCAAAATGTACAGCCCTTACTTTGGAATTGTTTGTGTGTCCAAGAACACTTAGAGGTTGAATTTACTCCGTGGAACAATGTATGGCTGTTTATAAACATAACAACTAAATAATGGAACTTTGTTCCCTTGTATTTACCAACTTCATACTTTTGACAAAATACTTTTTCCACTCAAATGTTTTGTGTGTTAAGGAATAAATGATTTCCAAAATAGCCTGTAAGCAACTTTAGCCATAAGTCTAAATTCTGAGTTAAATAAGAACACAATCAAAGTGTGAATTGTAGCTCTCAACTAGGGACCATGTGATAGTAAGGTATAAAAGTGCACAATGTTGGACAATGGAGTTAACTTTAGCCACTAGTGCAGTCTAAGTTCGTTTGATCATGTTAACTAAATGAATCACAGTCCATGCATGTGACATGAGTAATTATGTCATGCTTACACAGTGTTCACGAATGGTGTTTCAAAGTAACAGGACATTGGGTCCTGTATTAGTTTCAGATGTCTGTCTGACCCATTGAAAATTCACAGGACCCATAGAATAAAATTAAACACACATTTCAGATTTAACATTTCTTATAATTGGCATTGAAATTATTAACAAACATAAGATTTATTAACAGCGAACAAGTGTCACATGTCACATATAACAACTTCGATCAGTCAAAGTCATTGTCAAATATACAGTCAGACACTGGGTCCGGCGGGTTGTGTACTTTTATCGGACCGTTGCCGAATCTGCCGGATTTGTCAGAGGGTCCGACGCTATTCGTGAACACTGCTTACATTACAAGCATGGATGTAATATGAATGCTGTGTTGACAAACATCCCTGTACTGATGCATACCAACTCCTGCTCTTTCATTCCTGTTGTCAGTTCCTATGCCCACCAGAGGATGATATGTCCTTTCAACTGTGTAAATGTTGTAGGTCGTATCAAAGATGTCCAGCAGAGGAGAGTGCTGGATGAGGCAGCTCGGCGCCGTAGACAAAGGAAAGCCCTCGAGGCACTTGAACAGGACAACTTTTCGGAAGATCCTCATGCTGATTTGAAGATGAGCAAGAAGGCGCCAAAGTTTGATGAAGCAATGGATGCCAATGGTAGTAATTAAAGTACATTCCAAATATCTTTTGGTTTTGTGTAATTAGCAGACCTTGACAGGTCAGTGTGTTGCTGGTTACACAAGCCCCATTCTGACTGATGGTTTTAATATTACACAGTAATAATGTCTGTCGCTATATATGCTTAATTTTATCTCTATAGCAGAGTTAACTGTAACTGACAGTGTGTGTGTATGTCAGTCTCTCCATGTGTCTGTATGTCAGTCTCTCCATGTGTCTGTGTGTGAGGACAGGAATTACAGATCAGTTTTAATTAATTTTCAGTACAGATGGTGTTACCTTTATCAAGAAATGACTGTCATTAGTGTCAAACTGAATCTGAGTGTTGTATCTTAGTTTGCAATGGACAAGGAATGAGTGAATTAAAAATTTAAGTCACATCGACAATATTTCAGCCATATTGTGACTGTAATGGACAAGAAACATGATCGTGTGACGATGACAGAAACTTGATGAACAATAATACTTGATTGTTGTCTTTGTCAGCAACCAAGAGGAAGAGAAAGTCCAAAGGTGGTGATTTCAAACAACGATACCGTAAAAACTTTGCTGGTCTGCTAGAGGAAGAGGTATGAAAAATAAACATCAAATCACCAGATAGACCATTAGCCCAGTTATTTCAGTATTCACTTGCTGTTTATGTGTGATTATTCATATAGATGAACTTATTTCTTAGTATAAGCTACATTAAACCATACGTGAACCAACCACTCACCTTCTTGGCAACCCTACCACTCACCTGATGTTGCTCATTATATCAATCATTGGTCCATGTGTTAAATATGTGATGATTAACGGACAACTAGCTTGAATGTTGTTAACTACAGTGTGCGCCAACAAATGCATTTTTTAATTTTCTCATATGGTGACTACCGGTAATGTATATATAGATATACTACCATTTGATGAGTAGAAGAAGCTCTTGTATTGCTTACATGTCACCAGCGGAAATGTCCTTAAACCCAAACAGGCTGACATGGTTATAGCCATATTGGATGAGGTGTCACTGACATAGTTGTCTCCCTCGGTCTATTTGATCTGTATGGGGCTCGAGATTGTACTGGCTACTTCTGGAAATATGTGTTCAGAGCTAAATATAAACGGCTTAATGCATTGTAATCGTCAGTCCAGATTCCTGGAGCAGCAGCCATTCAGGGGGAACTAATCTTGGTATAACCCAACCTCTAGGGGCATATTGGGGATGGAATAATTCCCCATCAGCCTATGCTGGTCACCCAAGGCAATGGGCGATGTGTGGGGTAGCCCAGTGGTTTAAGCGTTTGCTCATCACGTCGAAGATACAATGTGTGAAGCCCATTTGTGGTGTCTGCCACTGTGATATTGCTGAAATATTGCTAAAAGTGGCGTAAAACTAAACTCACTCACTCACACAGGGCAGCGCGTTGATTGCATCTCCCTGGACACTGAGTGACAGCACTGGCATAATATCAGTCACTGGTTTGTCTGGTCTAGACTTGATTATTTAACAAACTCTGATTTAGTTGGAATATTGCTGGCAGAGTCATTGTCATGCTCTAAAATAGCTCTAAATTTCTGCAGACACAGTTTCTACTGGTTCATTTCAATTCATGTACATACAGAGCAAAACGTGACTTATTGAATGATAGTGCATTCATAACAGCAACTACTTTTGGATTACTTACAGTCTCTTAAAAAAAAAGAAGTTGTAACAAGCATGTGTTGTGCTTGATTCACTTCTTAAAGTGACAGACAAGCATTCTTTTTGTAATGTTGATTTTTAGCTGTGTAGAAATGTAAGATCTGAGATGTATTTGTTACTTGTTCTTGAGCTGAATTTAAGCAGCATGTCATGTGATGAAGTGTCGACAGTGGTTGATTGGCTCAATGTTAATGTGTCTGTGTCATGTTCCAGCAAATGCTGAACAAAGAGGAAGCCTCATACTTCAGCGCCGGTGTTCCTCCATCCAAGATGCCGCCTCGACATTTCTGTGCTGTGTGTGGATATCCTTTACACATCAACAAACTTTTCATTTGGATTTGGTTATTTCTCATTTGAAATAGATAACTAAGGGTTTCCTATGACAATAACAAGTCTTTGAAACTGTGAAAGGTATTTAGAATTTGGGAGAACATGAATACACGTCACCTTTATAGATAACAACTTCCATTATTCTGTGAAAATAAATATACACAATGCCCTATAGAAAGTGGTCAAATGTAACATGATGTACAGTCATGCCCCGTTTATCCGGACACTTGTGGTTTTCTTGAATTTGTCCGGATAAACAAATTTCCGGATATCTGAACCACGGACCATATGTAAAAACACATACCAAAAAACGAACATAATATACCTCAGACGTAATCTTTATTGATAAGACATCAACAAATAACAAGGCATACATAAATATCATCTTGTCAAATACAGTATTCAAGTAAATAACACGCGCGAACATGCCTGTGCATGCATCTGTCTGTCAAATGCTAGCAACCAATAACGAAACAGTTCTGATGTCATCCACGCGTTCACATTGTTCCTGTATCTAACATAAACTTCTGGATAAAAGTCACTACCAAAACCAATCACAACTCAAAATTAACTCTGTGTCACCTCGCTAATTACAGGTAGTTAATCCTCTCGCGCTTCAAAGACTGCCGATTTCTTTTATGTTAGGGCACGCAAGGCCACTCAGTAAAATGCGTGTGTAAACATACTGACCGGTGCTCAGCCATCCGGATATACAAGGAAAACATGCATATGATTTAGTGTTTTGTATGTGAAAATGACCGTCTGGTTACGGAATCCGGATTTCCGGATAAGTGAGTAATTTTACAACATTGTGAATTCGTTTTGAGGAATTTCCGTTTGGAAGGCTATTTTTCCGGATATCTGAGGTTTGGATAAACGGGGCACAACTGTACTCAGATGTAGACTACCAGTTGTCTGGCCTCCATTTTCGGGGAATCTGTGGTGGCTGAGTGAGTTAGATCGTTGACTTTGTGTGCTGACGATTAGGTGCCTGACAATGAGAGTGTGAGTTCGAATCCTGGATGGGCCTCAAACCAATAAAAAGTACCGGTACTAGAATCTGTAGTTTACTGATAAAGTAATCCCAAATGTCACATTTTTAAAATCACTTATGGTTATTTAACAATAATGATTAGTAACATATATCAAGACCGATAACAGCTTATAACAGAGGTTTTCTAGGACATCAGGGGGAAAGCTAGTCATCTTTCTTCCCAATGCCCTGTGGCTTTAGGCATCCAGGCATCTATATAGAAAAATGACATTTATGTGTTAAATCTATTCCAAATGATAGACAAATACTTCCTGAAAACCTGTTATAAGCTGTTATCGGTTTTTCGTGTGTAAATGTTTGCAAGTCTTTTCCAAGCTGATTTTGAACACCAGAGGATTATTAGGAAACAAATTTTCACAACCGACTTAGGAAACTGAATCTTGCACCAATGTATGTCTGTTACAAAGTGTCACCTGTTTCCTTGACTGAGCACGTTCCCCTCCAGTTACACCTGTGTTCAGTGTGGAGCTCGTTACTGCTCTGTGCGATGTCTCGGGACACACCAGGACACTAGGTAAGTACAGGAAACAGTATTAACTATTATCTTTGACTAGGCTAGCCTGTATGAAGACTTGCACAACAAATCTGCGGATGAGGAAGTTTAAGGGGTCGGTGAAGGCGATCGGGCATTGTTGTACATTGTTGACTGTTGTATGTGATTACCCATGTCTCTTGAGCACAATTATGCTTGTTTTCAGAAGCAATTAATTTAGATAAGGTGATTTATGGTTTTGATGCTCATTATATCAACCACTGGTTTATATGGTCTGGAATTAATTATTTACAGTCTGAAGTAATAGTTAAGGCTGTCTAAAAAGATGGGAAGTGTTATTAACAATTATCAATATGGAAATTGTGTCGATAATGTCATACATAAACTATTGTAATGAAATAAAGTTTTAATTTACCCGAACAATACACAAAACTAGGATCTATTCGTGGGCTGTTTCAAAATCATGTACAAGAAACTGGTTTTTTTTTTTTTTGGTAGGTAATCCATGCAAAAATGTGCCACCATTCACCAGTGATATGAAATGTGTTGAATTCTTTCACACATTTTTGCTCAAGGTTACTTCAGTGATATTAATCGATAATCGTTTGATGTTTACCTAACGATCGTCAATCTCAATGATCTCTATTGATAGCCTGCCCTAGTGGTGTAAACATATTTATCTTTTATAAAGGTGTTATAATTATATATGTGAAACTGATCTTTATTTTGTCCAGGGGTTATTTCTGAATTGGGAGTTCATGGTTTGCTTTCTCTCTCCTGCAGATGCCTGAAATGGACAGCTTGAGACTGAATTGACATCAAGTACTTGGTTCACATACTTAGTGCCAGATGCTGCCTAGATAAGCTTCCCCCAGAAGATGAAGACAAAACAAGCGGCTGCTGATAGTGATACAGCTTGCCGGTGTCTTGGCTGATGAAAAGGAGTGAGTCAAACGACTGTGGCTACCTTTTGAGACTCTGGTGCTTAAGAGCTATGGAGATGAGATGTAGGCTGTAAATATGTGACGAGATATCCCATTTCCTCGACAATGAGAAGTATAGTATTCACAGGGGCAGGGGAGGCAACTCCTTTGGAGAGAGAAAAGATCAGGGAGGCAACTCCACACAGCCATAAGTAAATCTTTGAAATAGATGTTCCGTCAAGGTTGGCTATTTCTAAAATGATAAACCACTGTACTGATTGAACCAAGGCTAGACTTAAAGTCGCCTTTGATCCTTGAGCTCAATAAATACCCACATATTTAATCGATTTTGATGTCAGTAAACCGATAATATCCCAGAGCTTTAGTTAGGCTACAGTGATGGCAGTCAGACATCTTGTACCCAATTAACAATACCAATGTAAGACATGTTGCTGTTCAGAGGCAAAATGCCCTATATGTACGGAGGTTGTGCAATAAATACTATTTTTGTCAAGTGTTGATATCTTGAAATACAAAATGTAATCAACAATATTTGGTCACGAAGCCATGTCATGATTAGGTTTAAAACACAATTGTCCTCGGGTGAGCCAGGGCGAGTCTTTGGCAAGGTGAGTGAATGAGTGAGTTCCGCTTTCAAGAAACTTCATATCAGAGTGATTTCAGTTTAACATCACTTTGAGCTAAATTTCAGTTGAAACATGTAATGTAAGCTTAATGAGAGGGGAAACTCTGAAGTGATCATGTCTTTGATACTGGGATGAGAATGTGTCTTTAAAGTATATTTTAATGGCCTGTATCACACTGTGACCCAAGATGTAGTTGAAACCCTGTTGATGAAACCAACAAACAAGATAACGTATAAGAAAGTAAGAATATTTATGGATAACAACTTCTTTATTATATATGATGCAACGTTTCGGTATGGATTCTTATACCGTTGTCAAGCAAGAGTGAAGTACTACAGCACAGACCAGGCTTATATACATGAACAGGGATTAAGTAATAACAACATGTAGGACTGAATGAGGGGGATTAACAATAACAACAAGGCACGGTGGCAATAATGTAGTGACAATAGGAAGCCAATGGTGGTTGATGTAAAAAACAAAATATACATGCTGATGAGATTAATTAACAATGATAGCTGAGGTGCTCTAATCTGTTGTTTTTATGAGATCATTGTATGCAGAAGGGATGAGATATCCCTGGTCTCTGTTGATAACGTAGTCTTGGATTTGGACGTGTTATCGGCTTTGCTGTGAGACACACCCGTCGTTTGAGGGATTACTGTGCAACACAACAGATTCATTCGATGGTCACTGGTCAGGACAGCTAATGTCCTCATGAGAAAAACAGATGCTGTGTCCAGATCAAACCTGGTAAAGGGTACAGTGTTGTGTACACTACACACTGTAGTCTGGTCCAGTTCCCTGACCAACTGCATGGTCTGTTTGAAACAGGGTTTGTCCGTAGAGTGAAAGGATAATTGAAACAGCATCTGTCCGTAGAGTGAAAAGATAATTGTAACAGCGTCTGTCCGTAAAGTGAAAGGATAATTGAAACAGCGTCTGTCCGTAGAGTGAAAGGATAATTGAAACAGCATCTGTCCGTAGAGTGAAAAGATAATTGAAACAGCGTCTGTCCGTAGAGTGAAAGGATAATTGAAACAGCGTCTGTTCCGTAGAGTGAAAGGATAATTGAAACAGCGTCTGTCCGTAGAGTGAAAGGATAATTGAAACAGCGTCTGTCCGTAGAGTGAAAGGATAATTGAAACAGCGCCTGTCCAGAGTGAAAGGATAATTGAAACAGCGTCTGTCGTAGGAGTTAAAGGAGTGAAAGGATAATTGAAACAGCATCTGTCCGTAGAGTAAAAGGATAATTGAAACAGCGTCTGTCCGTAGAGTGAAAGGATAATTGAAACAGCGCCTGTCCGTGGATAAGAGTGAAAGGATAATTGAAACAGCATCTGTCCGTGAAACAGAGTGAAAAGGATAATTGAAACAGCGTCTGTCCAGAGTGAAAAGATAATTGAAACAGCATCTGTCCGTAGAGTGAAAGGATAATTGAAAAAATTGAAACAGCGTCTGTCCGTAGAGTGAAAGGATAATTGAACCAGCGTCTGTCCGTAGAGTGAAAGGATAATTGAAACAGCATCTGTCCGTAGAGTGAAAGGATAATTGAAACAGCATCTGTCCGTAGAGTGAAAGGATAATTGAAACAGCGTCTGTCCGTAGAGTGAAAGGATAATTGAAACAGCGTCTGTCCGTAGAGTGAAAGGATAATTGAAACAGCGTCTGTCCGTAGAGTGAAAGGATAATTGAAACAGAGGCAGCGTTAAACCCCCTACATGTCATGTCTTCTCAAGCTGGAATATTGCTGGAGAGCGAGCATCCTGTCCGCCAATTGCTCGAGAGCGAGTATCCTTTTGGCCATTATCATGGCACAGGGACACAAGGCAACTAACAGGATCGGGTGGTCAGGCTCACTGACTTTGGTCGACACATGTCATCGTATTCCAATTGCATAGATCAATACTCATGCTATTGATTTCTAGATTGTCTGGTCCAGACTTGATTATTTACAGACCACTGCCATATTATAGTTGTAATACTGCGGAGTTCAGCATTTAACAACAAAACAATCAACCAATCTTTACAGAACATAAACAACTACTACACACATACAGTTTTAATATTTTTATTTCATTTTATTTTTTGTACCCGATACTGGGTTACAACTGATTAGACAATGATAAAATTTTCATGATTATTTTTGGGCTATGAATTTTGTGATGTTTTTTCCTTATTTCAGTCACTGAGATCTATGTACAATTAACAAAACTATTTACACTTCAACTGACTTAAAATACTTGTAACCTTGGAAGGTATTTCGTATCTCAAGGTATAGTAAAAAAAATAAAATAAACAATGGAAGAACAAATATGCCAAAATGAACAATGATAGATTAGTGGAGGATGCTTACTTCCGAAAATAACAGCAAACAAAAGACCCTGACACCCCTCTCAGCCTAAATGAGCCTGTCCATCTCTTTGAGAAGGTGATGCCCACTTCAGGTTTTGGGGTGCTGCAGTATGTTACCCTGTCAGTGATGTACTGGACAGATTCCTTCTGCTGTTACTTCAGTGTCGGGAAACAATTACTACTGTTGCCTAGGTGACGATATACAGGTAGATAATGCTGCATTGGGTATCAAAGGATAAAGTTCAATGCTTGGATAAATCATGCCATTTAAGTCAATAAATGCAGGAGCTGTTTCTCTGGCAACAAATAGAAAATATGAATTTATAAATTTTTAAAAATATATTTTTGGTGATTTACTTTTTAACACAACATGGTTAGCTCGTCTGGGTGAAGACTAAACAACTACTTCCTTATGGAAGACAAGGTAACAGTCTACTGTCTATACAGGTTTAACTTAAGGCGAGATTGAACTTTGCGAAATTAGTGAAGGACGAGACAAGTTCTTTCTACTAAGTCAACACAGTAAATTGTGGACGTTTTGGCCCCGACGAGCTACCTCTCTAAAAAAGTGGGTCAAAGAAAAAGCTTGTGTTTCTGACACTGAAGGCAGCATTTCGATTACAACAGCACTTCCAACCATCTGGGATGGCTCGTTACGGACATGCAGCTAAACCACATCGACTCTTGTTGAAGATAGCATGCATATTTGTATTAAGTCAATATATCAGTACGGGCATAATGCACTAGGGTATTTTTTGCATATTTTATGATCAACACATTAAAATCAATCTAATATGTAAAAAGAGTAACAACAGTTTAAGTAAATATTAGTTATATAGGTAATATCATCAATACACGTAAAGGCTACAGTGGGCTCTTACCCACAATGCATCATCAGCAATAATATTGAACTAATGCAGAAAGTGGTGTTTAACAGTAACCATGGTAACAGTAACAAAAAAGCATTTGCATAACTTGAAAATAAACGTTTGGTTTTCTGTCATGTGTAGAACGGAATCGTTACAGTTTGCATTTTGTCAGAAAGTACAAAGCAATTGTTTGAGTACTGGTGATGACGAATCTGGAATGTATATGTAACGCATTGCTTAAAACGTTTCAAATGATGAAAGTATCGAACATTGTGATAAAAAATTCATGTTCACAAAAAAATAATTTGTCTCCGGAGACAGAAGGCAACACGGCAGTATTGCATGACAGTACGAAAATAGAAACTCTTAACACTTGAATAAATTTCATTACACTAGGAACACGACATCACAATTACTTGCATCTTCAATCCCACGTCGACACATTTCTAGAAGAATATACATAGGACAGGTGCTTGCTTGCCCCCCATGCAGTTATTTATGAAGGCTTTACGTACAGCACTTGGGGCGCCTTCAGTTTCATCGCTTATACTGAGGGGAAGACTTGAGCTGCTTTCTTTGCAGCACTGCATTATGGGAGAGTATGCTCTTGGTGCCTTGACAATGTCAAGGTCACAACCGAGTCGTGACAAGGTGAAGGTCACATGTGCCTCATGTTACTTGGACAATATATAACAACCACTACCAAAGTCAAGGTCACACTTGTGCCCTGACAAGGTCAAGGTCATGCAGCAGATACGGTGCTATGTCAGCAAATTACTGCTTGCTTACAGGACGGTCGTAGTCTCACAACTCGACACTACGTAACAACAACAAGGTTCTCTCATATTGACCACAAACACAAACCACTAGGAGGTGGTTTAAACATGCCAGGGGCCGAACCCACCCCTCTGAGCTAGCTCCCAGTCTCCGGCAGCAGTACCACTTCTTCAATACTTATAAGGCAAAAAGACAGTACAGCACTCCATATTTTTGTCTTTACACAATAATACACTGATCAATCCAGTCTAAGTAATAATAAATACCAATTATCTAAAATATTGCATAGTAAAATGTTGGAATTTTCCATTGATAATGTACATCCATGTTTAGGGAACTACCAATGCTTGCTAAGCTATGATCTTCCACTAGAGTGAAAGATGGTCCAATCATAACACTAGGGGAGGGGGGATATACACAGGAGGGAGGGTGGAGTCAAGCCAAGTTCACAAGCTCCTCAGGGGTAAAAACATTATGTAAATGTAAATGACACTGTTAACAATGGAACCTAATATAAAATCTCACAAAAAGTCACTTGCAAAAGGCAGGCAGGCCTTGAATAAAAAAAACAGCAAATCATACCTCGTACTTAAATACGTATATTGAGGCCTGGGAACACTAATACTTCATGCATGATTGTGCCTGCACACCAGTACATGATTAAAACCTTTCAAATACATGAAGTAATGATTACATCACAATGCCATCTTTCAGACATCATGACATCACAATGCCATGTGTGACATCATGATGACATCATAATGCAGAATGTGACATGACAACATCACAACCAAAATTGTGACATGATGACATCACAATGCAATAGGTGACATGATGACATTACACTAAATATTGTGACATCACGATGACATCACAATGCAAAGTGCTGCATTATGATGGCATCACATTAGATGGGATTCCTATGCAGATGGCTATTCTACTATAAATATTCGGTGATAATATATGAAGGCTGAAAGTGATTCCCTCCCTCTACCCAACCCCAGTTGTCTCCCTTTGCCCTGAAAATATAGATTCTTGGGATTGGAATAGTAGTCATTAATATTGATATTTCTCCAGATCTTATTACAAAATTAATATTTTATTTTTTTGTATTTTTCCATTGAAAATACAAAATAAACTACGAAACTAGTACTTTGAGCTTTTCCCTGATATTAAATTTTTTGAAAATACATGTCTTAATATTTTATAAAACTACATTTTGTATAAATGTCACTTCTCAGACATTATGGAATCCATGAAAATCAAACAGCACTGCTCCGATGAAGTTCCTTTTCCACAAAAACCAGACATTAACCTTGAACTGTCTGGTTTGCTCAGTTGTCATGGCAACACCATGTCCATCTGGTCACATTTCACAACCATGTTAACAAATTATCCATTTTGTTCGAGCTTAGCACAGTTTCAACATCCTTCAAAAGGTCATTGCTGATGTCCTCCTGAAACAACAAATTAAAGCCATTAGTTTCAAAGTTGTGTTGAGCAATGTAGCAATTTTCTGTCCATACCAAAAAAAGGGACACAAGAAATGGGCTCATATCACCAGCTGCCTAAAAGCAAATCCTAACTACTATGGCTAGCCATCGACCAGTTTTGGGTCAACAGATTAGCAGACAATCTTGATGCATGTGATCTTATCCCAAATGAGTACATCAATGCTCATGATGTGAATCACTGGATTATCTGAACAAGATTGGATTCTTTAAAGGAGTGAGTGAGTGAGTGAGTTTAGTTTCACTCAGCAATATTCCAGCTATATGGTGGCGGTCTGTAAATAATCGAATCTGGAACAGACAATCCAGTGATCAACAGCAGGAGCATCGATCTCCGCAATTGGGAACTGATGACATGTGTCAACCAATCCAGCGAGCCTGACCTACCGATCCCGTTAGTCGCCTCTTTCGACAAGCATGGGTTACTGAAGGTTCATTCTAACCCGGACCTTCACGGGTCCGGGGATTCTTTAAAGGCCACTGGAATACTGCTGAGTACAACTTTACATGACTACCAAATAAGAGCAGTTTTACATTTCTGTGAAATAATATGTTTACCTGTAAACTCGGCACCAAGTCATCGCTGTCCATGTTTGTGGCATCGCTGCTGCCGTCTACACTGCCCATTGGGGTCATATCTATACTGCCAAAGTCTCCCTGTCCAGACAGTTTAGGGCCTGAAACAAATTTGTTGTGATGAGTGAGTGACTGGGTGAGTGAGTTGGGTTTAATGCTGATCATTACTGCTGCTCTATCACTATGTCAGTTTAACATGGGAGAAAATACCAAGGGGCAGAATTCACAGACAGATCACACTCTGAGTAACCCATGAGCATTGCTTAAATAATGAAAAAATACAAGGATTAGGAAAATGTTGTGACTGAAACCCTTTATATTAGGATCCTGACATAACAGATCAAACTCTGCACCAACTCTGCAGACAAAGATCCTTTAAGTGAATGAAACTATAAACAATGTAATACTTATATTTAAGAAAATCAGGAATGATATATATATGATTGTTTAACATAGGCCTTCGTATTCTCATAAAAGCTAAGGTACAAAGTAGAAGCACTCCCTAAATTTTATTTCTAAACAATCCTAAACCTGACTTGATAAACCCTCATTAACATGCAGACACACAACAATGCTTGCCCAAGTTGTTTATTACAAGAAAACCCTGCACTACACCAGGGCTGACTTCAGCTAGAGTTGTCTCCCTTCCATCTGCAGAGGCTGCCCAGCTCCTGTGATGCCAGCCCTTACAAGCCTTCAACACTGGACTTTTCTTTACAGAGTGCCAAACAATTTACCGTAGTTTGGATGTATATTCAATAAACATTCCTCGAATCTTTGATTTCTCATTAAAGTATTCCATTTGAGTATGAAAAGGAATGCACGGTCAATTGGAAAGTTCAAAATAGGAATCTCAAGGATGTTCAGGTATTTTCAACACCAAAAGAATAAAAGAAGTTAAAGAAATGAAAAAGGCATGGTAACTGCCAGGGAAATCCTACAGTTTTCTGCCTAGCAAATTGAGGACTGACATATATTGTCTGAAGAAGCATGACATTTGCTGCAAGAGATGGTGTAGGTTAAGGACATCACATTTATATCTTATAAACATTTATCTCCGATAATGCATGCAGATTCTCAATGCAATCACATCCACCTTGACTGAACCTATGAACCTCACTATGTGTTTCCTATCTTTAAATTGGAGAGTGAAGTGTCATACCGAGACAAAGTGGCATCATGCCTTGGGCAAAGCTCACCAGTGCCTAATCATTGGTCTTTCAACAACTGGATCTAACAGTCTTAAAATATGTTGGAAATAAAACTCTGTATTGACCAATCCAGGTGCAAAGGCAGTGAGTGAGTTTAGTTTTTACGCCACACTCAGCAATATTCCAGCCATATGGCGGCGGTCTGTAAATAATCGAGTCTGGACCAGACAATCCAGTGATCAACAGCATGAGCATCAATCTGTGCAATTGGGAGGTGCAAAGGGAATTCAACCCCAAGATTGTCATAAAACTTCACACACATACTCAAGATATATTAGTACTGGGATTACGTGTTGAAAAGGCTGTGTAGTTGGAATATTGCTGAGTGCAGCGTTAAACAGCAAACAAACAAAACATTCTTGATTTAAATGAAAGTTTCTACCAAGGGAGAAACTCCTACCCACCCCCATCTTGTGTGTCCATATCTTCCATGCTCAGGAAATCTTCAGGAGTTCTAGGTAGGCTGTAGTTTGTGCCCATCCCACCTGTAACACAAGCCACAACATTCACTACACAAGCTGAGCAAGGTTTACAGATCATACAGCTGTAAGTGTACATTAAAAACTTGCTGTTGTAACATCAGTGTTTCCGCTGGCATTTTCTACAGCTGGACATTGTTACCGGCTAGCATTTCAAATGCTGGTCATTTGTAAATTGTACCGGTCAAGTGATCATGCTTTTCATTGTGCGCGAGACCTTGCACCCTAACAGCCAATCAGCAATGTTTTGGGTTTTTTTCTTTCTAAAACTGCTATTTTTTATTTGACAACATTTTGAAAATGTCATTGTCATTGTGAAAATGTAATTTTTTTTCGATGAGAAATAAAATTGACAGAGGTAATTAGAAAATTGATTTTAAAATTTGCCAGACTCGATGACCGACAGCCTTTGAAATTACCAGACAATGTAACTTTGTACTGGTCAAAGTCTGGTATATACCGGATAGCAGAAATAATATAAACATACAATGACTTTACTACTGTAATACATTGAATCCTATATATCATCTCATGATGTTGTCATGAGCATGGTATAACTGATTGTAGCATGGTTACATACCAAGGCCACTGTCAGCACTTTCTTGTCGGGAGTGAAGGTCCGACGTCCCCGTCTGGCCGAGGAAAGGGTCAGTGACCGATGTCATCTCATTTGATTGCACCAGTTTTGGTGTCTGCGACTGTATCTGCTGCTGTTGAGCCTCAGGGTTTCCAGCGAGGTTGGCACGGATCAACATTTCCTGGGAAGAGTAAGCAGAGATGAATACTATTTCCATGGCACTTACACCAATTATATCAGGAAAGTGAAGTAATCATGCTTCTTTCAGTGAATCCAGGACAAGTTTTCGGTAGCAATTCAAGCAGGAAGATGAGCAAGAAATATTCGGGACCTATTCTCAAATGTGACAAACAATGACTTCTTGGGACCTATTTTCAAGGGAGATAAGCAATGACTTCTTGGGCCCTATTTTCAAGGGGGTAAGCAATGACTTCTTGGGACCTATTTTCAAGGGAGATAAGCAATGACTTCCTGGGACCTATTCTCAAGGGAGACATGCAAGGACTTCTTAAGACCCATTCTCACAGTGAGACAAGGACTTCTTGACTTATTCCGCCACTGAATCGCCACAGGGAGACAAGCAGGCAGTAGTGTTACCTGCTCTACCAACTCTAGTCAGTGAAACCAGAGGTATTTGATACATATTCAACCCAAGAATCACCAGAGACTGACAACTGACTGACTGAGTGAGTTTAGTTTTACGCCGTTTTTAGCAATATTCCAGCAATATCACGGCGGGGGACACCAGAAATGGGCTTCACACTTTGTGCCCATGTGGAGAATCGAACCCGGGTCTTTGGCGTGACGAGCCAACGCTTTAACCACTAGGCTACCCTGCCGCCCCTGAGACTGACAAGCAAGGGGTACTGTGGATCTATTCTGCCCAGTAATCACAATAGGAGACAAACTCAGGGACCATGGAATGATTCAGCTCCAGAACTCTTGTAGGCGAGGACATGAGAAGAGCGTTCTCATCTACTGACCTGACGAGCAATCTCGTCCTGTCTCTGCTTCAACCTCTCCTTCTCGCGTTGTAGATGATGTAGCTTCATCTGACGCTGCTGTTCCTCTGGTGTCATCGGTCGCTGGCCAGGTGACATCGGCTGAGACGGTGGACGATTGCCGCCCATTTGTTGCTGTAACCTCATCCCCGGACGTTGTAGATGTGCCGCTGCTTAAAGAACCAACATGCACACGGTAATAGTCGGCCATCAGTAACAAATTTATATCTTAAATGAATTTATAATTTACTTGAATCAGTTTTGTGTTTATACAAGTATTATTGTTAAAGTCATTAAGCACATGCCAAAAAGGAAACCACTGTGAAGTGGATTCAGCCAGGACCAGGCAAACTGATTATTCCACGGGTAACGATCCAAGCCCTCAGGGTCTTATGATATGGAATCGCTCAATTCACAGCCCCTCATTCCTCATTTAAGTCGTCAACCTATCATCACCTGGAGTGAGTGAGTGAGTGAGTGAGTGAGTGTTTTATGCTGCTTTAAGCAATATTCCAGCAATATCACAGTCGGGGCTTCAAACATTGTTCCAATGTGGAGAATCGAATCCGGGTCTTCGGCGGGCAGAGCGAATGCTTTGACCACTAGGCTAGCCCACTGCCCATCCCTGAGTAATGTTGAGTAGTATATGAAAGTGAACCGGTTTTAGACCACTTCAAACAATAATCCAGCAACCTAACAGGGGACAGCAGAAATGGACTTCATGTTTTTCATCCTTAAAGGAGTCAAACTAAGACTTAAGACTTGAGTGAAAGTTGTTAACTTATGTGACTGCCTCTTTCAGCAGTATATGAAACATCTGACAAATGGACATACGTATATTTGGATGAAACCAGCTCGTTGTGCGGCTGAGGTGGTTGATGTAGTAGACCTCTCCCTCTGCTGTATACGCCCTCTCCCAGCCTTGGGGGAGTGGGGTGCTATCTATGGCTTGTTGTGACTGCGAGGGGCTGCCCGGTGGCTGGGGAGGCTGACCCGACTGCTGCTGCTGTTGCTGTTGCTGCTTGTTGAGGTTGTTGGTGCTGACAGATTTGCGTGGGTCTTGCCATGTAGTAGTCTGAGACAAATGGCTGCAAGAGAGAAGAAGCCATTTTGAGATTGTCACGTTATTATTGGAAAATTAAAAATACTTTTTGTTAAGCCACTATGAATTATCATTCTTAAATATTTCAGGCTTACAAATGAAAACAATATTTGAAAAGGATAGAATCATTACAAATTATTGAAATCAGTATTTCTGAACAATTTAATTTAAGCAAAAGAATTACTTCAAAATAGAGTTGCAACATATTTCTGAAGAAAACTGCAATCTTAAAATATTATGAGTTAATGTATTATCAATAATATTTCCAATAATGCAGTTATTGAGAATATAATGTTTATACTGAGTTAGTCGTATCTATACAAGTTTATACATTACATCAAGTCAGTGTTACATGAGAGGTAGTATATACATAAATATCAGCAAACCAACTTCGATACATAACAATCATGATCCAGGAGACTGAAAGGATTCCAATCACGTTTAACGTTTTCAAAATGTTCTCTTAAAAGTGAATAAGGGATATTTGATTGGCTGTGATTCTATTTTCTCAAAATAAACTTGTTTCAGCAGTGTCTGCCAAGATGCTAGAATGTTTCAAGAACATAGACACTGGAATTAATAAAAGTCAAGGGGTAGTTGAAGTTTCATGTATTGCAGTTGGTTTGCTGTTGTATCTATGATTAACAAAGCTAAAAAAATAAATCTTTGACAGAAGGTACTGGGCATCCCTGACAAATGTTGACAAACTGGAGAGACATGACAGGAAATGTCACCATTACCCTCAATTTAGATGACCAACAATGACACTACAATCAAACACCTCAAGGCTGCCATGATGAGGATATAGACAATAGAAATGACACAACACACAAACGATAATGGAAAATTGAATAAAATGCGAAATAAGGAGATTTACTTCACTGCGACAACAGACGGACGAACAATAGCTCAATCTTTTCACTGCTACGACAAATATATGCACAATATATAAATCTTTTCACTGCTCCGACAGTTGGACAGACAATAAATCAATCTTTTCACTGCTACAACAGATGGACAGACAATAAGTCAATCTTTTTAGTGCTACAACAATATATGCACTATATGCCAATTTTCACCACTACAACAGATGGATCGACAATAAGTCAATCTTTTCACTACCACAGACGGATGAAAAATAAATCATTCATTTCAAAGCTACAACAGTTGGACAAACAATCAGTCAATCATTTCACACCAATTCACTGTCATTCAATCATTTCACTGCAACAACAGGTGAACAGATTTCTATTCCACCAGGTGAGACTAGAAAAATAACCAATCACCTACAAACTACGACAGATGACGGTTGAAGTCAGCTGTAATAAACAAGGCAGGCAAACATAAACTTGGTTAAGTGTTTTCTGGTGTGCATAACTCACTCACTCACAAGCTTTGTTCTTGACTGTAAGAAATGTTTTCCCCTGTTTAGGGTACTGACAGACTACAAAGTAACGGGACTGACTTCCATTGCAGGGTGACCTTTTCATTAATTGTAGAAATCATACAACTTCTTTCAATAATTGTAATAATTGCTCAATTCATTGTGGTCAAACCAATTTCGCGTCCATTTCATTCATGAATCAATCAGTAAATTATCTCTAATTAGTGCTAATTACCCCCCAGCCTGACTAATGCGCTGGTATTTCAAAGTGGGACAACTTGTCTACGTGCTACGACATCTGTAGTGTAGTAATACTATAGTTCCATTACTACAAAAACCACTACATGGCTAATCATTAACTCTTATTGACCATATTGGAACAGTTACAAAATAAAACGATGACATAAACCTCGGGTTTCAGGGTCATAGTTATCTCAAGGTTCACTCATTATGTTGTAGGATACCAGGAATTTTACACGAATTTAATTATTTCTTAAAATTATACAGTCGTTACCAAACTAATAATGCTATTGATGTAACCATAGCAACAATTAATAGTTTTACAAATACGTCACATATAACATGAACGAAAAACCAAGAACAAAGAAACAATATTCCTCAGTTTAAAATTAAATCTTCGCCAGAATAGTTTCCACAAGTTTGACCTTTTAATGAGGGGAGTCAGTCTGCCTTCCTTACTCAGGCAGATACTTTGCCATGACTTTCAACCTTTAACGATTAAATAACATAGATGAATTTCGAAACAGCAATTACATTCCTTTAGACATGACTACTGCTATAAATATTTCGCGACATGTCGTTTCACCACATGTCCTTTAGCAACATCAATATTTTGGCCATTAATAATTGAACCCTGTACATCTCAGGAGCATCCACATCTCAAGCCAGATTCAACAATAACCCATTAGCATTGTGAATCTTCCATGTTCCCTGGGCTGCAAGGCCAACAGTAACATTACCATCCTTCCAGGTACCCATTCACAGCTGGATGAACAGAGGCATATTGCCAACATGGTCGCCGTCTAAAGAGAGGCCAAAAGTGCTTCAGTGTGGGACAAGCCAGAAGCCCTTTCAACTCTTGGGAGTCAAGTAGCACAACATGATCACTCACCCAGCTACTCAATGCAACCAGCACTGCTTAACTTCCAGTAATCCCTAACCAAGTTTTTCCAACAATCTATGTGAGCCACTGCAAACTGAGCTGATCATTTCCCCAGCAGTGCAGACTCGGCAGAATAACGCCTTCCTTGTGTAGGAACATGATTTACATGCTAGCACAGCAACCAAAAAAGTGTAGAAGCACTGAAGAGCTTTGTAAAAGGTAATACAAGCCAAAAGGCATCAGCTGTTTCGTGCCACGCCCACTCTCAAAGCCACTCAAGCATGACAGCTGGAATTCACGCCCCTGGTTCAACTAAGTCAGTATCGCAAAATGTAGTTTCTTAAAAATGTGAAACTTTTTCAACATGTTCATTGGGTTTCATTTTAGTTGTGACAGAAATAGCCCCATTTATATATATAGCCATAGAATGAGAGAGACAGGCCAGTTAAATCATTTTCAGATAAAGCCACGAAACACCAGAAACATTAGCTTCACAATCAGTTTTTTGTTTTTCTTAACAGCTCTTTGAGCAATATGTCAGGTATATAACAGATGCCAGTAAACAATTTAGTGTAGACCAGACGATCCAGTGATTCATATTGTTAGAAACGAATGATGCCGTAACTGCTTGAGGACAAACTATCAACCAAGTGACAGAGTCTGAAAACCAATCCATTTGGTCACCTCAATCAGGGTATTGAACCTATGACACTGACAAAAGCAAGAGATCTAACTATTGTACTATCCTATTTCGGATCTTTACAGTTGAAACCCTGAAACAATTATATAGGAGACTGAGTACCAGCACGACCACCATAATCTACTTCTTTCTGTGACAATAAATTTAGCCATTAATTATCAGATGAACAATCATAAATATTAATTCATTTATGCATTATTTATTTAAGGTAATCATTCTTTCAAAGGTAATTTAAATTCAGAATAATTTATTTTCATTATTGAATCTATATCTTGTCTTTCTTAAAGCTAAAAAAATGATAAAACTTTTAAACAATGAACTCATTTCCTGAAAACAAAAAGAAACCATGCCCAGGTCCCATAAAAGCTGAATGTGAAAGCAATCTGTTACCTAGGATACTTGTGTTTACCCAGAAGGCTGTTCAACACTACAACTGTCGTGTTTATTATCGCATCGAAAGTAAACTTGGAGAAGCAAGCGGATATGATAGAAGGCAGGGTTATTTACTTCGCCAACATCAGCCGCCGCAAGTGCATTGTTCGGCCTGTGGACAAGGCAGACCAGGCCGCGCTCCAAGGAGAGGGAGGGCGACCATCTTTGCAAATGGCCACCACCAATTGTGTGCAGGGGAAGAACCGGGTTATGACGTCCCCGTTTGTATACATATGCAAAATGTGTACACGTCCCTGTAGGATGTTCCTCTGTCTAAACACGTTAACTTCGAAATATTTGCAGTTTAAGTAAGGGATGTCTTCTTATTCTGAGTTGCAAAAAGAGAAGATTTTGATCGAAACAGCAACTTCTGGTTAAATTTACTGACAGGAAAAAGTAAACTGGTACATCTATCTACATTAATACCCATCCACACAAAATCAATACTTTAACTGACAAAGTTGCTCAACTTTAACAAATTAAACATATTATGAAATAGTTTTTGGTAAATGTCTGTGTGAGTGACTGCGTGATTGTGGGGACTTCAACATTTCTGACAACAAAATATCACGGTGCTATATCCTGTGTCACCTAGGTGCCTTGGGATAGCCTTTAGTAATGAAGGCTACAGACCATGTGGTTGAAGAAACCATTGAGAATTTCTCGAGTCCTGACCTAAGATGAATAACATCGGTAAAATCAGGATTTGAACCACAGATTGGTGCATCCTGGGAACTAGGAGAGGCAACCCTGTACAACAAAAACGTCCACTAGGGTACACTGGATGGGTTGGAAATGATGGGTGGATCAAATTGCGTCAACTCAGGATTTGAACCAAAGATAGTCGCATCTGGGAATAAGGGGAGACAACTCTGCTCAAGACAGATATGCACCTAGGTACCCCAGGTGGGTAGGCAATGGATGGTGGTTTGGGAAGCGGTATGCATGTCGAGCGGGTGGGTAGGAAGGGAGATGGGTGGATGGTAGGTCGTGAAAGAGAATGTTTGGTGGATATAGGTTGGGAAAGAAAATGTAGGGTGGGCTATAGAGTGGAAAGGGAAAGGTGGGATGTAGGGAAGGGAATGCTGGGAGGTGACGAGAATGTTTATTGCATGTAGCGACAACCCATGATTGGGCAGTAATCTCACTGGGAGTATGGCTACACTTCCTTTCTCAACCACATAGAAACTGGGGGAGTAAATATTTCACATGTGACTCATCTGTCGTACCGATATATTCAAACATCCATGGCCAAGCTGCTGCAGGGAATGGAGAGAGATAGTCGAGCAATGAAAAAAATGTCAAACTTGACACATCAATATTAATGTAGCATTGCAAGTGGGACAA